GCCAATTTGGACGCTAGAGGTATAATTTTTGCTGTAAACGAAAGTTTAACATGTCTTCTATCTATTTCAGTCGAAAACAGAAATTCGGATTTTTTGAAATCTTTCAGGAAAATCGACTTGAAGTTCCACCGAAAGTTTCAAGAGGAAAATTTGCTTACATTTTGGTTTGGGAAAAAATCTGAAACTCAAAGTGCTGTAACAGGCGGAGTTTTCACGGTAGGGAAACTGCCGACCCCACACCTGAACTAAAATGGTCATAACTCCTCCAATTTTGACGCTAGAGCAATAATTTTTGTTGCAAACGAGGATTTATCATGCCCCCTTTCTATTTCAGCCGAAAGCAGAAAGTTGGAATTTTGGAAAACTTTTGAGAAAATCGACTTTGAAGTTTCACCTGAATTTTCAAGAGTTTTCAAGAAAAATTCGGAACACAACAACTTCCAATAGGTTTGTACCTTCAGTGCAAATTTCAACTTTCCATCCCTGATAGTTTTCGAACGGCAGCCTGTTAAAGTTTTGGCCTTCACTCCAACCAGCGCCATTAGACTCCATAAGTGGACTGCCGACCCCCACCCTCTCACTAAAATGGCCATAACTTCGCCAATTTGGACGCTTGAGGTATATGTCTAAGCCATTTTGGCTCTTGAAATGAAGGGTGATACTTCTAAGTCGATTTTCTCAAAAGTTTGAAAAACATTCCAATTTCTGTTTTCGACTGAAATAAATCCATGTATGTTTAACTTTCATTTGAGACAAAAATCGTACCTCTAGGGTCAAAATTGGCCGAGTTATGACCATCTTAAGTTTTTTGTAGGGTCGGCAACCAGCTTATGTAGTCTAGTTGCACTGGTCGGGGTCAGACCAAAACTTTGACAGACTGCCATTTGAACAATTTCGACTTCGTGTACGAACTGGTCTGAAGCTATTCTGTGTCAAATTTTTTTTTCCAATCTTTGTCATAACATGGATACTTTTCATAGACTTTACAAACAGTGCAATGCCATGGTATCAAATATGTGAAGAAGCCCACTCAGTGAATTTAAAAAAAAAGTGTAGTTAAAATTTACCAAAATTACCATTTTTAAAACTGTGTTACCATGAATGAATGGCCCATTGATGACTATTGATTATTCAGCATGTGGCTTTATCACTTCTTTCAAGCATGATATTCACGGGCCAGCTATATTTATATCAAACAAAAAATTTACGTGTATCAACACAGTTTACATGTGGTCAAAGGGGTATAATTTACATTTTGTGTGGTCTGCAATAAACTGTGTTCTGGAAAATTCTTCAACCTCTTTAAAATCGTATTATTCACTAATAATTTTCACGGAAGAATCGCAATTTTCTGAGTCTGTTTCTTCTAGTTATTCGCTGTCTGTTATTACACATGCCATCAATCTTTAAAACATGATGTTCTAGCTTCATACAGATTACTATAATGCAAGTATGGAAATGAACTGCTGGATATAATATTTCTCGAGCCATTCAAAAGATGCAAGGTAAATCGACAAACATTATAAAGTAGATCTGTACGTAGTTGTTACGCATAACCCTGTTCTCTTTTAATGACAGTGTTTATTAGTTTTGGATCATTTTTCAACTTACTGGTCGACAATTATCTACATGTATATTATATCAATTTCACCGGTTAGATTTGCTTTTAGAAAGTAGTTTTCCAAAATACCTCTATAATTTTTTAAGTGTTTTATATTCTTTGGGGTGTTGTGTTTTAAATGATGCCAATAGTTTTGAACTGTTTTTTCTAACTGGGTTGATGAACAAATAACAATGCCTCATCTGATACTCTTTCACTAAGTATAGCTCGTTCACTGCAACAGATAAATAGATACATACAGACATACATATTAACAGACTATAATATATACAATAATGAAATATGTTCACTGTTAGAATAGTCCTCAATAACTCAAACATATAGCGATATAGAAATAGAGTATGGAAATATTAATAATATAGCATTTACATTTAAACGTTATATAATAAAACATTGATTATAACATTTTAGTTTTTCAACTTAAAGGGGCATTCTGCTCTTTTTTAAAACATTTTCACATAAGAATTTATACCTAAAAATATTTATAAAGTATATTATTTATATTAAACCGAATTTGTTTTAAAATGGTTAATTTATAAAGTTATAATTGTTAATTAATCAGTTTGACCCATTTTTTTTGTTTCGCTTTTTAATGATTGATATTATTAGTTTAAATCTTTTGAATTTAGGAGGCATTTCTCTACAATAAGGCGTTTATTCTACTTCAATCCGTACAGTAGTTTTCTAACTGTTTCGAAAAAAGTTAGTTCAATTATTACATTCGGTAAATGAAGTCAGTCCAGAAACTGGATGAACTTGAATTACCTCTCTGTATTCATTTTATTTTATCATAAATAAGGCTCTGATTTTCACTAATATCATACAACTCTTCCATTCCTTTAAAACTAAAGAATATAAGATATATAGATATATAACAGTGAAGCAAAATATGAATGAGTCGCTATTTTTAAGTTCGAAATGCCGCGATCTTGTAAGAGGAGATCTAGTGGTATAATGGTTACAAATTCTCTTGCGGGTACTACGTCATTTCCAGTTAACCCTTTCTGGAATTGCAGGAACCACGGGCATTTGATGAAGAATTGGAATATTCCAAATAGAAGTCATAGGGCTGAAGTCAAAGGTATGAAACACATTAAATAGGCCAGAAAAAACTCTTTAAAATTCCATTAAATGTAAATGCTATATTATTAATATGTATTATAGACTGTTGATATTTATACAAATTTGAATATGAGCAATAATATGACTGATATTAACAAATAATTATTTAGATCATACTGATAATCTTTCAGCTGTAATTGGAATTTCATTGTAATTCCAGATACAACTAAATTTAAAAAAACCTAATAACGTTACGATCGTAATGACGATTTAACCTGCCTCTTGCACCCGTGCACAGAATGTCATCTAAGTTGCACTTGGCATCGCAAACACAAGATCATGATTAAAACCATCCTTAAAAATTATCATTGACAGACGCATGAATAGATTTGATGAGTTTTGTATATCTCGTGAATTGACAAGAACATAGCAAACGCAAATAGTATCGGTCATTAGTCCCTTTAATGTAACAGCTTGGAAGAATTTTGTATTATATTATAAGTTTATCACACTTTTATTCTGAATGAAATTTAGTATATAAGTTCTAAGAGCAGGAATATCATCGTGGTTGATGTTGTTAATTGAAAGGGATGTTGGAAGTTGCAGTCAGTTGGGTCAGTTATACGATACGTCTTTCTTTTTTCGTTGAAGTATTCACAACAAAATCATGTTTTAAACATTCAATCTAGGGACAAAATGACTTATCGATAGCAGTACTCAAAAATAGAGAAATTTATATAGGGATAGGTCCGCCATCCGTTTTACTAATCGTACTTTAGTCTCAGACATGGGAATTTTTTTTTAACGAACGCTAATCAGTTAGTATAGGTTAATAGTCGAAAGCTTGTCAATAAGTCTAATAATGATCGTGGGACGAGGACCGAAGGTCTTAAATACAGTTCACAAACAATTACATCTACTCAGACACGTGCTATAATATAGGTCACATGAGATCCAATCACATGCCTAACAATACAGGCAATCTTTCAAAATGTCCGGTCAGGAAAATAAAATAAATATACCAGTTCGAGTTATATACTATTATTTCCTTATTGCATTGTCGTTCATTTCATTATAAATGATATGGATATGGATTAAAATTGATATTTTACTTATTTAATTTCGTATATCTGGACCGTGACTCATGGATTACAATTTGAATATGCTTGTCAAGTATTTCAGAAATACAAGATTCATATCCAGTAGCATAGTGAGCATTTCATTGACGGAGCGGGGCCCACGACTCCCCTTTCTGGATTTAATAGGGCACTTGATATGTTGGGGATCCTTGTAAAATTTATCTACCTTTAATATACTTAATAGTTAGTTTTAACTTTTGTATGTTTGTATTTGTCTTTTGAATCACCCCCAAATAGTGCATAAATGCATGTGTAGACGGTTCATAATAATAAACACTTCTCCATTTTTTATTAGTTCAGGGTAGCCTAAACTGGGAAACTGGAAAGTTAATTGAAAGAAATTATTCTGAAAATGCACTGAATGGATACAAAAGAGTAATTTTGATAGAAGAAATTTAAGACAGTTAAAATGGCTTGTGGAACAATTTTAAAAAACATGAAAGACAGAATGTTCAGGGTTAAGGAACTACCGTCATACGAATCATTAGAGAAAACTGGATTGGCTAAAGTCTTGGGAGTGGTAGATCTTCTGTCTCTTGGTAAGTTGTAACTTTCGATCGTAAGTTGTTGGGAACATGCCGTTCCCTTTTTTGGGGCCAATTACAATGTGACAAATTCAATATTCCTATTACTGATTGAACACGGTAAATGTAATGAATAATGTTATTTTAGCCGTAAAAATATTTCACATTTGAAACTCTTGTAGCCTGTCCGTCAAATCTAATTCAGACACAGTTCTAAATCTTTCGATTGCTTTTTTCTGCTGCTTACAGCAATCCTTGAGTGGTACGAAATACTGTTTTCAAGATAATCATGCTTTATTATCTGTGTTTAGGTATAGGATCTACAATAGGTGTTGGTATTTATGTGATAGCTGGTCAAGTTGCTCGATTATATTGTGGACCTTCCATATTTATATCTTTTCTTATAGCAGGAATAGCATCACTTTTAGCCGGTAAAAATATTTCTATCATATAACGTATTGGTAAATATCCCAAGAAACGTATCTGAAGTATACAAATTTCACTTTCTAAAAGACCAAAATAGTTTATTAGGTTTCGGGCTGAGGCCATTATCGACTTCCGTAATTTCTTTTTAATCGTCTGCTATTTCGTGTAACGATGGACAAATCCCTGAGTAGTCTGAACAATGATAGTAATAAAACAGAAAAATAATTATTATTACATCTTATTATATTGAACATGAGAATATGTTGATACAATGCGATACACGACTTCCTTCAAACCAAATTTTAATTTTAATTTATTGTGTGAATTTTAGGAATGTGTTATGCCGAGTTTGCTGCCAGAGTTCCCCGCGCAGGTTCAGCTTATGTCTACAGTTATGTCACTGTCGGAGAGTTCATGGCTTTTATAATTGGCTGGACATTGGTTTTAGAGCATGCGATAGGTAAGTTTTAGCAATAGCGTGAAATTGAGTTAATCCATTGATTACAGGATGAGGCAATTCCAAACTTACACTTTTGAAATCCTTGACATTGTATTATATATTCCATGTTCAATTTTTGAATGCTTATATGTAACTACAAGAGCATAATTTGATGTTTTATCGTTATATAGGCAGTGCTGCTATCACCAGAGCAGGAAGTGCCTATATAGATTCTGTTACTGGCAATAAAATGTCACAGTTCTTCCGAACCTACATGCCTATTGATATTAGTATATTTGCCAGCTATCCAGACCTATTTGCATTTTCAATTGATTTCGTTTTAACATGTAAGTGCTCTTTCAGTGGTTATTTTTCTTGATTCTAGTGTTAGGCTACCAATTAGGATTCTATTGTTTTATTATCGTTAGACAAAAATCATTCATTACTCTAGGTACAAAGCAGCATTGATAAAAAGTTGGAATTGGTAACTTTTTAAAGGGCTGTTAAAGGAATTGTAAAGAGTTTTTCTAGATTTGTTATATATACTGGGGACAATCATATATCAATTTTCAATCGGACGTCTGTGCTTCCTGCAATTCCACTAAAACTAATATAAGTGTTTCATGAAGTCACTAATCGCGATACACAATTTTTTTTTTTAGAAAACTTCTTTACAAGCCCTGAATTGCTACTGTGCTTCTTATATAATAACAAAAATAACTAATCTGCCATCAATTGTATTCATTAGATATTATTCTCTGTTGGCGATACTCTTCTTACACCTGATACCACTTTTCGTTATAAAATACTTACTCACTTATGAAACGTTAATTAGCTGCTATCAATGTTTCGCCAAAATGTTGTTATGGATTTCGTTTCAGCTGGTTAGAACTTTGGGTTTTTTTTTAATCTCAGTTCGCAATACTGTTCAAAATTACATAAATTGTTTGTTCTTTCAGTATTATTGATAATTGGTGTCAAGGAATCAAGTCGGTTTAATTGTATATTTACATCAATCAATATATCAATGGTTTTGTTTACTATTGGCTTTTTTCTTTCTAAAGCTGATATCAAAAACTGGCAAACTGAAACAAAGGATGTAAGATTTCTATATTCAAATTTTGGTTTTAATAAACGGGGCCGCTCTAGGCTCTTGAGAATGTGGGTACAAATAGGGAACTGACTGACTTAATAGGGTGACAAGAGTCGAGACTGAATTGAAAATGCGGAAATTCTGTGTTCTAGTTGTCATCGCACATGCCTCTCATGGAGCGTCTGAGAACATTTTCGTAAATTGGATTGATTGAATACATTCAGACACATATTCTGGGGCAAAAACATATAAAAATGAATATATTTAAATATATTGAAATAAGAAAACGGTACAATCGGGGGTGGCAAATTTGATTTTTGATCAATTGCATGTACTGAGAAATGTTAGACCCTTTTATCCTTCTTGTGTTTTTGTTAGATACCTAAATCAGCACATGCCGGAACAGGAGGTTTCTTTCCTTACGGTGTTGATGGGATGCTTACTGGAGCTGCCGTAACATTTTATACGTATGTGGGCTTTGATACAGTGGCCACAGCAGGTAAGTTATATACTTGCATTTTGTTTTAATCTCTCTTTTTTAATCTTAATCTGCAAGACTTTTAATACGCAACCCCATGATGTTTGTTTTGGAAGGAAGGACATTGCTTACTTTCCAGAAGCTTTATGTTACCTTAACAATTATAAGAGGTTCTCACATGACCGATTAATTCACATCCTTTTTATACGCCCACATGAAATTGTGGCATATATTGTCGTCACCCATGTCCTTCCGTCCGTCTGTTGCTCGTAAACACTCTCGAGGGCACAATAATTCTTGACAGATTTTGACGAAACTTGGTATGATTTTTTGTAATCACTCAAGGGATATTATACAGTATCGTTCAAAAGAAGTTAAGACCGAAGGTGGAATATTTCATACTGGTAATAGTTATTATACTGCCAAATATTTTTATTCAAAATCAAAGCTGCCTGTGGGCATATATTACCTTGTCTGGTAAGCTATCGTTATGGTTAAAAACTTTGCTATTTTCTGTTTTCAGGGGAAGAAACTAAAAACCCTAAGAGGGACATACCACTGTCTATAATACTGACTATAACAATAGTAGCTGTTATATATATTTTAATGTCTATGTCCCTAACACTAGTAACACCATATTATAAGATAGATCCTGTTGTTTCTGTACCACTTATATTTGATAGTATGGGATGGTATATACCAAAGTATTTCGTTTATGCCGGAGCATTTTGCGGTCTTGCTACAAGGTATGTAGATACATGCATTTACACTTTTAGACGGTCAGAGAGTGAATACCATACGAAACAACGTACGCACACAAATCACATTTAAAGCCATTTGTTAACCTATAAATGTGCTGAATTTGGCTCTGAAACCATCCAATAATGATAAGCTTCGTGGTTGTTATCTTAAAATTTAAGCTTATTATCTGCTTTCACACAATCGAGAAGCTTTTTCCTGTTTATCTTGGATTCCCTTGCGAGGAAAAGTTAAAACAGATAGGTAGCCTACTTCTTATAAATAATTATCTGGAATTTATTAACAAGCTACATTCTTATTTGCCATGCAAAATGTAGGTGGAATTAGTCTTATGAATGGTTCAGGACTCTACATGGTAAAAAACCACTGTCAAACCGTGGAAAATATGATGTCTCAAATTGGCAATGACCTCAACTATGAAACTTGGTGGTTAGGTGGTTAAAATGTAGTAATGTTTAAATCATATAACACTGTTGATGGTGCGTAGGTCAAGTACCTGCTATGTTTTCAAGGGCATACTTTTCTTATAGCCGAAACAATCTGGAAAATCCATAAAAAAAAATTGCCAATGATTGATCGGTGATATCTTGTTAACTTTATTTTATATATTTTCCAGATTGTTTCAATAGAAAAGAAAGATATTTAACAATTTTTAATATTAATTTTGTTATTTTATAGTCTTGTCGGGGCACTGTTTCCATTACCAAGAATTTTATATGCTATGGGTTTGGATGATGTTTTATTTCCATTCTTTGCCACTATCAGCGAACGTTTCAAGACTCCGGCAATTGCCACCCTAATTGGTGGTACTCTGACAGGTTATGATCAGTTATCATACATTATATTTTTCTTGTATTTTGGTATAATCGAACTGAATCACGAGGATCAAGTTTTGAAAATATTAGGAAGTTATATTTATAGGAACATTATTGCCTTTTAAGATTCGAGCGAAATTGTTGTGTATAAAAGTTAAAATGATAAAATATTTTCACTGTTAAAATAGTACTCAATACATCAATAATTATTGTAGAGCGACAAGGAAATACTAAGACTTGTATTAAAGTTATATAAATCCTTAACGGGGTTCGTATATAATTATCCATATTTCCAATAAAAAAATAAAGTAAATAGAAATATTATTTCCATCAATGTATTTTTGTTGTTTTTTGTACATTAGGACTGATAGCCACGATGTTTAGTGTAGAAGAATTGATAAGTATGTATAGCATTGGAACATTACAGTCGTATGCCTTGGTCTCTGTTTGTGTTATTATATTAAGGTCAGTCGAAAGCTCAATTTTCCAAAAGGTGATTTTTCTACTTTAAAATGATGAATGGTTTGTATAAGATCAACTGACTTCCTTATAACAATATGTAGATCAGTTTCTTCAATTGAAGAAAAGGCATTTTTTATTCAATTAAAAATGATCCTTACGTCAATTTTTTACTTCTGAAAAGTGTATGTGAATCAGTGCTAAAAAGGGAAAAGCGCCTATATAGTCGTTGCGAATTTAGTTTGTTTCCCTTTGAGCAAATCGATTATGTATTTGATTATGCAGGTATCGACAACAAAATACAGATGGTAAATTAGAAAATGAACAATTTCATTTGAAATATTTGTTCATGCCTGTGAGTGATAAACCTACAGCTGTGACAGAGAAGATAGTAAAGATAGTTATTACATTAATGTGTATGTATAAAATTATTGTATTATATACATCAAATACCAAACAAATATATTCAATATTTATTTCAACTTATATATGATAATATATTATAAACCCGGAGACAAAGGAGGTGGGTGGGGCGGCTCGCAGCACCGAAAGCAAGTTTTTCGGGCAAAAATCTCATAAATAGGTTAGATATTCGGACAGTCTCAGATATCTTCCCCTCCCCCCACCTCTCTTCGGACGTTAACCTGACTCCGCCACTGATTATAAAAGACAATAAGGATGAATAAAACAACCCTATCATATCACAACAACTTTCCTTTCAACTATGACTTTTTATAGAGTTTTTATAGATTTGATGATTTGTAATAACTTAGTTTGGGCGATTGAATATGGCAAAATATGTCAAAACTGGCATGTGAATTCGAGTTATTGTACTTGGCATACTTAACACATTTTTGAATGTCGAAAGGGAGCAGTTTTCTACATTTCTGTGTTCCGTATTGATATGAATCGCAATAGAAACTTTAAGTAGTATTGTTGCGCGTAGGCCCTATATTAACTGATATGTTATTGTTAAATGTACATATATTTAGAGGACTGCATCCACAAGGTTTAGGCGACATGTTATTGCCGTGTGCAGAATTTTTAATGAATATAAACAGGACGTCACACGACAGAGCATCACAGTGTGACAGCGATATTCATGGTAAAGTTAGGTGACAAAACAGAATTTTCTCTTATAACCATGTTAAAAATAGCTTGCCAGGCATGATAGCAATCGCCCACTGGCAGCTTTGATTTTAAATAAAAGTATTTGGCGGTACAGTTACAATTACCAATTTGAATTATTCAACTTTCAGTCCTACACTTCTTGTGAACTTTTTGGGGCGATACTATAAAATATTACCAAGTTTCGTCAAAATTGACGAAGAATTGGGCTTTCTAGATTTTTTACAGGCTAAAACAAGAACGCGTTTTTAAGAACAACGGCAATAACTCAAACTTAATATTTTTTCGATTCGTCTGATTTTCGATAGGCTATGGTTAATCCATGGTTGAAGACAAACACTCACATTAAGTTTCGTCGAAATCCATCAAGAATTGTGCCTTCTGGAGCATTTACGACCTAAGACTTGAACGCATTTTCAAGAACAAAGGAAATAACTCGTACTAATTATTTTTCGATTTTTCTGATTTTTAATAGGGTTCATCCTTGGGTGATTACTAACTCACACAAACATTCATCTAAATCAAAACTTGTGGAGTGTTTACCAGCTAAAACTTGAACGCGTTTTCAAGAACAAGGGCAACAATTAATACTACATATTTTTGGATTTTTGTAATTTTCGGTAGGGTTCATCCTTTGGTGATAACAAACATTCACACCAAGATTCGTCAAAATCTGTCAATAAATGAACCTTCTAGAGTTTTTACAAGTTAAATTGAACGCGTTTTCAAGAACAAGGGCAACAATTAATACTACATATTTTTGGATTTTTGTAATTTTCGGTAGGGTTCATCCTTTGGTGATAACAAACATTCACACCAAGTTTCATCAAAATCTGTCAATAAATGAACCTTCTAGAGTTTTTACAAGTTAAATTGAACGCGTTTTCAAGAACAAGGGCAATAACTCATACTAATTATTTTCGTCAAAATCAGTAAAGAATTGTGCCTTCTAGAGTGTTTACGAGCGATTGTGGATGGAGGGACTGACGCGCAGACACGGGTGACGACAATATACGCTCCACATTTCACGTGGGCGTATAAAAAGCAGTCATGGCAAAACTAGGTGACAAAATTAACTATCAAATCAAGGAGCCTCATACGAAGAGAGAATTTGCTGTTAATCTTCCCATGAAGGAGTATCTTGATTTTTCTTTCGCGCTAATATCCGAGCTCATTTTGCGTTAAGTTACATTACAAAATACGCACGAGAACGTGGAGCTTACTGACTTTTGATATGAGCTCGAAAACAAACACGTAAACTCATATTTCAGGTTACAGGAAACATCTACACGAGGCGATCGTTTAATAGTCCTTTTTTGGTTCTTATTGTGCCAGGTTTATTAGTCATTATTCCTTTTTGAAAGCTTATTTGCTTACAATTTCTGTCTTTTTAAAGGTTTGATTACAATATTATTAACAGTTTTTATGAGGATCAATGGACGGGGTTTGTTATCAACTTGGTATGGTATATGTATCATTACCTTGTGTTGTTTTGGCATATTTTTCTGTATTCTAATTACCTCACGACAACCCCAGAATGATATTACAAAAGACAGATTTCAGGTCAGTACCTCAGGTCATTTCTTGTCTGTTTCGCATTTCTTAAAAAATATTCTGATTAGCATATTAAAAGTATTTTTAGAAAAATATTCATAGAAAATTAGAAAATTGATGGAATCTGTGCTTATTGTTGACGAAAATGTGAACAAGAAGGAGCCCAAAAGGTTTGCAAACTTTATTTGATTTACACAAATAGAAGAAATCTGTCCTCTTCATGTTAGCATGCAGGTTTAAGCATTTCACGCTCCAAGCCTAAAAACATTGAATATCAGACATGCCCTTTAAATTCAAATGTTACCTGAAAAAAGTAATTAAATAGTCACTTTTCAGGTGCCCTTGCTGCCATGGATACCCAGTTTCAGTGTATTTATTAACATTTACCTAATGACAAAATTGTCCACTGTTACCTGGATACGATTTGCTATATGGATGACCGTAGGTAAATACGTTTTTGGGTTTTATGAGACTTTTGTCGCCTATTAGAGGCTTGAGTAAAATCTCGCGTGTGCCTGTGCTTCCGCGACAAAATTATCGCGTCCCCGACAGGATTTATAATATCAAACAAGTTTGATACTTGTTTCCGATAGTCTAATCGTCTGCGAGACAGATCAGATTCATTTTCCTTCCAATTGCATGCTCCGCACGTGATTATCGACAAATGAAACTCTTGACAAGACTCTAGTCGGAGACGACCAAGACCGTTCGTGTGCCTGCACCTTTAAAGTAATACTGATTGGCACGTGATTAGCTACTATAAATGGTGTTAGATTGCAATGGAGACTGAAAAAAAAATTGAAACCTTATTTTAATTGAATTACGAAGGGTATGTACATGTCATTATATAAATATCATTGCAGGTTTTGTATTATATTTTGGATATGGTCTGTATAAAGGTATGAAGAATATACAAGGAATAAATATTGACGATGATAAAGTATATGATGATAAAGAAGATATATTATTAATTAATAAAAGTGATAATAAATAATGTTAAAATAAAGCCGCAGCTTTGAGCAAAAATTACCTTTCGCACCTACCTACCTACCAACCTACCATTAGCGTTACCTCCCGTCTGATAGGTATATTAATATATAATACGCACTCTGGTAATTCATTTGTCATCTGTTTCCACGAAATTCGCGAAATTCAACCTTCTGTAACATTTTGCAGAAATCTCGTTGAAAACTTTCATATGTCACATGAAAGCCTGACCAATACTTAGTTTCTTGACAAAAGATCAATATATCATGACCATGAAAATCTTGAGCTAGCCAAACTGAAAGTAGACCACCACATTTTATCAATATCCGCTTGACTGTCAATGCACACAAAATAACTATTTTTAGAATTATCCTTCCAGCAGGAAAATCTATCATCATCTCATTGAATCTGAAAGAAAATGCAATTTCAAGCATAAACTTCCAAATCTAGACCAAAAATAAGTCAAAAATAGGCATGCAAATAGGGGAGAAAGAGGATTACTAAAAATAACACGGACAGCATTAATACAGTTAATTATATAAAATCCTTAAGTGATCTGAGTCTATAATGCAAGAACTAAAAGGGACCTAATTCTAATAAAATGATGTGACTGGTAACAGCTGGTCCTTATCACCTTCATATTAATGTGATGGTATGTGCAAGGGCAATTTAAGCTAACAATACTTACATTCACCTAAATACAGAGGATTCGTTAATATCAAGTGACAATATCAATATCCCTAAATGCATAAAACATAATGGAATTCATCAAAAAGAAAAAAAGAAAATAGTAATAATAAAAAAAATCATTACGACCAAGATTAGAGTCGAAATAATTCGATAAATGCGATATATTAGTCACAGATACATGTTTAAGTTGTTATCCTAAATTTAAATGATAAATATATTGATACCATATCCATTTGTCGTTTTATCTTCGAATTATCTTCTAATAACCTCTCATTTATCAGTATTTATGATTCGGACACGGACAATCACTTTAAACTCAATGATAGTGCATTATTAGTTATTTAAAAATGTCGAAGTATGAGTGAATCTGATCACGTAGAGAGACATGCTAATAAAAGAGTATTGGACATACCTCATGATGTGTCTTCGGTGGAATTAGACGAAGATTGTGAATTAAATCTACTCGATGAAAACTCAGAAAATGATGCAGAAGTGGACAAAGGTAAATGACTTATGACCATAATCGCTCACTCATTATTGCAACAATACGCCGTTGCGCTTGACTTTATAATTGCATGACGAAAAAATCGCCAAATATGTTTAGAAGGATTACTATTATAATGTAAGATACTACTTATTCGCTTCAATCCAATTAAATCGGCTCATTAACAAACTTACAAGTACAAGAAAGTTAGCAGTTGCAGTTAAGGTATAAGTACGAGGTTCTTAACACATTTATTTTGTATTTGAAATTGCTAGAAATCAAATATGGACCACTTCAAGTATTATTTTAGATATAAAAGAGTAGTGTTTTTATGATTTCATTGATATTGATAGAAAAAGCACGAGAAATAAATACTCTGCATCTTGGCACGTGTTTTTGGATTTAAAATGCACTAATGTATAATTTTGTTTGAAAGTAGAGTAAATTTTACGAGGAAATACTGTATAGGCATATTTGGTAATGTCCGTAATACACAGGTTTTACAGTAGTGTAGCAGCCTTTCATGATATATCACGTGATACGTGTTTCTAAATATAGAAGATACAATATATTCCAAAATGGTTGGAGTTAGCTGACACGAAATAAACTTGTCTTACAAATTCGTTCATCAACAAAATTCCTAAATGGGTAAGAGATTTTTGTATAGATGGCGATTTCCACATTGTATTAGTCTACTGTTTTTAGAAAATTGAAACTCCACGAATATGTATGATGTAAATGATATACAAAACAGTGATAACATGTTACTGATTAGGAGTAGGCCTAGGGTAGACTCAGTTATAGAATAAGAATGACTGTTCTGAGTGAATAATATTGTCGTGTTTTTCAATTATCTAAGAAGGTTATATATCTAGAGGAAAGGTGTGTATTGTTGGGCCTTTATAAATCAAAGTCATTATTTGTTTGATATAATAGGACCTTCCATTAAAGAGACAATAGGCCTAGGCTATATTTGATATTTGAAGAAGATAGGTCTATTTTTTATTTTCCATTTTTGCACTCATGCAGTTGCCCTACTAGCCCTACTGCACTAGACTAACCTAGCCCTTAACCTTACTGTCCTGTTATGATTTAAAGGCTTTGACTGATCATTTATGGGGGTTGGTTTGGGTCTTGGAAAAATAATCTTCAGAAGTATTAGAACTGCCCTAAAACTACATGATTCTTACAAAAATACTCCAAACTAGGAATTTCACTTTCAATTTCTGAAAAAACATGGATTTTAAGGCACAAATTTCAAACAGTGAGTTGTTAACACCGATTAGCCTAGTTAGTCTGTTTGTGAGACTAAGGTACAATGGCCAACCTGTCCCTTTAAGTTAAATCAATCCTTACCAGTACTGATTAATTTTTACAAGAATGGTAATTTCAGATTCAATTATTTTTCTTTTTTTAGATTATTTATGGAAATTAGACCTTCTAGCCTAAAATAAGTGTCTGAAAACTGTTTGCTTCTCTTAATGCATATTTTCCTTATTTATAACTAGCAGTTTCACTCCAAAGATTTAATTTATAAGTTAATTTATTTTTAAAGAAATTTGGAAATCTGATTAAGTTAATTTTTTCTTTAAACAAAGTTTTATGTCTGTTAATTATTTAAAACAGACAGTATAGTGAGATAGGAACCATTTGCTTGGAACAAAAATAAAGTGTGGGGATGGATTTTATGGGAGAAAAAATAACAAGAATTTCTCAGCAGTAAGATGACAGACTTTGAATCTTTTTAGTAAAAAAATTGATGTACTGTATAGATTTATATTGGAAATATTTTATTTTGCAGAAAAAGAGGTTAAACTATGGGCCACCGGTCCACCGCCAATGGTGCCAGAAAAAAGTTACATCAACCCAGGTGATGAAGACCAAATGGTAAGTGATTTTCTTTAACACTGTTACTCACAGTTTTTGTAGACAATTTTGATGTTTCAATAACATTTATACTAAAATTAGTTCCTTTATAGATCAAAAGAAGACTTCTTTAATAACATTTTTGACACTGGGTGAATTTATAGAATAAAGAGGAATTGAAAAGTTTTTTTCTAAACTAGCATCAATTTGAAAACTTTAATTTTTACTCAGATTTAAAAAATAATAAAAAGTGTAGAAAACCTATTTACAACCTCTTAAGGCATATGTAGTCAGTATTGGCCAGAAAGTTCAATTTACTTGTAAATTTACTAGTTCAAAGTACTTGGTATTCTTCTCAGATAGAGACTTCTTGACTAATCTGACTCTTTCTAGGCATAATTAAAACTTCATGAAATAGAATTATTTATTAAAATATTTTCTGTCTATTGTATTACATTTATTTCTGATTCCAGGAAATTAGTGGCTACAGATTAAATCGTATCAAACAAGTTGTGATATGGATATTTATAGTATTAACTATTGGACTTCTACGACTAGTATTCTATTGGTTACCACACTATTTCTTACGTTGTACACATGATAAATGTTCCCTGGCACAAGCTGAATCAGTTATTATGAAGGTAAAGAATATTGTATGATTTAGATTTAAAGGATAAAATCACCATCTGATGCAAGACTGCAATGGTGTCACATAGATTGCATTTGATATATTTGAAATTTTCAGATCACTTAAGTGGTAGTTAATAATGTTTAATTAATGTAGTCTTTCTGTGTACATGTTCGACTAGATAATACATGACTTTAAACTTTCAGAACCAGTATGAACAGTATTTTGTGGCAAAAGTAGAAACCGCAACTAGAGAGGGAACCAGGTTAGTACAATATACAGTAGTACTTCCCCAGTATTGCCTTGCATTAGATATGATAACATTTATAAAGCCTGTCCATAATTTATTTCAGGTTAATTGTCTCTATACTTATTACTTGAATTATTATACTATTTTGTAACAATATGAAAATACACCAAAAATGAGTTCTTGATGTATACTGAATGATATGTTGTCAACTCTTGTATAGACGTATGTCAACTTTTCAATCTACTCCATCAACAAAGTAAATGTATTATTTATTTATAGAGTTCGCCTATTGAATGGTAAAAGTAAATACATATTCCATAAAGGGAATTCACAGCCCATGATAACCTATCAAGATTCATTGGTATGTAGCCATTCTTAAAAACAAGTTTGGGGTTGATTTAAAATGAAAGAGCAAATGTACTGTACACAGCTTTCAAAAGACATAAAATTTGATAGTGTCTTACTCAAGTAATCTGATTCCCTAGATGTGGCAGTATTGAAATATGACTGCTAATAAATGATAATGAATGAAATAGTGCAATATACTGTTAAAACCACTGAACCCTATACGGCTATTAAAAACATTAAACCATGTTAACCATGATACAGCTTCTAAAATCAATTAACCATGATACAGCTTTTAAAACCACTAAAGGTGTCCTCACACCATAGCGATCACCAGTTGCGTATAGTTGAGAATAAGAATAGAGGTCATTAGTTTCAAACACAACTCATGCAACTGTGTTTTGGGTTATGTTTAGAACTCTTGGCCACTTTCATTATTTGCATCCATATGCAACTGGTAATCTATATAGTGAGAGGACACCTTAAGTGGTTTTAAAAGCCTCATTTACTTCCACTCAACTATTTATTTCTCACTATGTCTAACAAAAACAAAGCTAGATTTCCCTGGTGGATAACTTAACATTTATTATGTTCATAATTAAATTATATAATTGATAAAATTCATTTATGTTACATCTTCATCATGATATAGACATATATAATAATACTTATTATTCTGTTATCACAGTACAAAATCAATCTTGTAACTGGTTTAATTAAAGTTTAAAGAGATACTGTCTTCTAACATGAAGCAATCGCTTTGTATTTTTGAATTATTTGTTTATCTTGTAAATCTGTCTAGAGGTTGGTAATTTCTTATCAAATTGAAGTATTCTGATGTTAAAATCCATAGTCTCTACTTGTGACCTAGGCCAGTGCTTCTATACGAGAGTATCACATATAAGAATTGTATCAAGGTATCAATAAACACCATTAATACAAGTTTGGATTTATGTCCAAAAATAGTAATCTAACTGTACCATTGACTAACTAGAATTGTTATAATTTTGAAACTTATGGTCATGATTTGACTATAGTTAAAAATTATTTTCATTTCTTCTATTTTTTTGGTCTTCTGAATAACATACTAGTTTAACTATGTCCTGGGCAAGAAAAACTGAAAAGTGTCTGTTTGATAAAAGGACTAATTTCACACAAAGCTTTTTAAAAAATTCTTTCTTTGATAATGTCATTGTTTAGTGTTTTGGGTGTTTTTTAAAAGATATATTTCTTAAACTTTCACATATATTTTTTGAAATTTCTGTTTTCTTGTCATGTTATTTAAGTGAATATTGACTTTTAGTCATTTGACCAAATAAATCGATCTACTTCTTTAGTTATGACTCATGTTCATATCATTGATCCCTGTTTTAAATATGGTAACCTATAATCTATAAATATTTATATAATATATGGTAATCAGGTATCATAATTTGACCAGTACAGGAAAACAAACATTTGTATAAAATATAAAAAATGTATACAATATCAATGTCAACACGGTATCATAAACAGGCTGAAGGTTCACATCTGAAATGTTACATGGTGCAAGGTTAAGTTGAGCATAGCTATTTGTACACATAGTTTTTAAAACTACACAAGACCGATATGTCCTTAAACTGCCTGGAAATGGACTGATGTGAATTACACCTGAATGTGTATTCCTTAATAAATGAAGAGCGATAAAGCAAAAAGTTAAAAACAAAATTGTAGTTTGATGTTTATTTTCTTTTCATATCAAACCTCTTCATGAATATTGATATAACTTATAATTAGTTTTGTGAAATATCCAAAGAAATACATATATCCCAATCAAACTTTTTCCTTTTTTTCTTTTAAGATGATTTCAGTATGTAACAAACTTTGCATACCAGTACCACTAGAGTTGGAATCAGAAATTGTTCACCTTTTCTTTACTCTTTAATCACTTTTGTGTTTTATTGGACAGAGGTAAATTATCTTCAACTGTATTAAGTTTTCCATTCTTGGTTCGC